GAGACTTGGAGAATTCTCGCAGGCGTAGGATTTCGTCATGGCTATGTTGGCCTAGAGATTCCACGAATCTTTGCAAGTGCTCATCGGCATCCCCTTTGACACCGTCGTACTTGGGAAATTTTGGGATGATGTACCCCTGTGGGTACGGTGTCTGAGCCAGGCTTTTTGGGTACGGAGGCTCCATACGCAAAACTAACGTGCGTGCAGCCGATGGGGTATGCTTCATAAAAAAATCACGTAGCATAGATTCAGTGACATATTCCGGGGAGGGGTTTGCCGGTGGACCTGTTTGAACTGGGGTAGGCTTTGGGGCTGCTTGGGCTTGCGTCGGCGGATACTATAGTGATGGCACATGAGTAGATGAACTACCTGGTTGGTCATGCTCAGGAAGGGCCACTCTAGTGGGAGAAATAGTTCTGGCTCGTGCACTCTGCATGATCAAGGCTTCCAACCTATCCAGGCGGACGTTAAGATCACGGTTGGACTGTAACAACTCCTCATGAACAGAAGGGGCCGCTGAACTTTCCGGCATTGTGATATGTGGTGCACGAGCATTGGAAGCATGTGACGGTGCCTGGGATTGAAGAGGAACGCCGCCGCCACCCCCAACAGAGGGCTCTGAATGGCGAGTCGACATATCATGTGATTCCATCTGCTTGTACTGATATCCCCAGCGGAGTCGCCAAAATGTAGGGGTTCTTTTTTACTAGGTAATAAAATAGCAATAAAATAGAGATATCAGGGATACAAATACGAAGGAAAACAAAGGAGATGTTCAGTGTAGGAGGAGGAGAAGAAAACTAACTCTCAAGATCAAGATGGTGGTAGGGCGAGTATACAGTTTTTTATGACAGCTTTTCTTTCATCCGGGGGTTGATTCTTTCTTCATGGGACAGTGCCATTTATAGATCTAGATTCCATTGGTCATTATCCAATGGTCCCCTCTATGCATGGTTCCTCGCATGCATCACCCCCAATCCGGATTACATGAATAATCCTGAAGATTTAGGGGTCCGAAGGGTCTAATCCTTTCCTTGAGCCTTGTCCCATGTTGCCATGTCACTCTCCCCTAATCAGAGGCATTAAATGTTGTTTGGTCGTCGGTTGGTCAAGCCTGACACAGCATTAATTGTGATTTTAAGGTTTACTGTCACAACGTGTATAATCCCATCATTTTGTTAATTGGGCCTTGCCGAGAGTGAAGGCACCTCTTGACTTCTCATCCACCAATCCAAGATCCTCCTAAGTTTCCCAAACATGGATTCCTATAACACGAAGATCCTACCTCATCTCGTGCTAAGGAGCTCCGATCTTTCAAGACAGTATCGTCTGGCGTAACACCGGGATTCGGGATATTCGAGAGTCGGTCTCTCGAGACTTGATCGGCCTGGTGTGGCGCCCGGATTTGGAATGCTCAAGGATCAGCTTCTCGAGACTTATTGGGCCTGGGGCGATGCCAGGGCTTAGAGTGCTCGAGATTTGATCTTTCGAAACTTGATGGGCCTAGAGCGATGCCCGGGTTTAAAGTGCTCGAGATTTGATCTTTCGAGACTTGAGGGCCTGGAGCGATGTCAGGACTTAAAGTGCTCGAGATTTGATCTTTTGAGGCTTGAGGGCCTGGAGCGATGCCAGGGCTTAAAGTACTCGAGATTTGATCTTTCGAGGCTTGAGGGCCTGGAGCGATGCCAGGGCTTAAAGTGTTCGAGATTTGTTCTTTCGAGGCCTGGAGCGATGCCAGGGTTTACAGTGCGCGAGATTTGCTCTTTCGAGGCTTCAGAACCTGGAGCGATGCCAAGGCTTAAAGTGCTCGAGATTTGGTCTTTTGAGGCTTTTGACTTTTCAACTTGCCACGGAGGATTTAGCTAGGGTTGTATTGACTTATCAACATGCCACGTCAGTACCTAATAAGTGACACCCACAATCTTTAGGAGGAGTATTAACCTTTTGAGGTTGTTGAGCAAGAGAATCCAGTGCCGACGGGTGCGTCTAGGAATATAATGCTGGAAATCTGGAAATTATCATTACCATTTGCTAACAACAATAAGTAGAGCCTTGCGACCAGCTGGAAACATGATTTGTGTTAATTTTCCGGTAAACTTGTGTACTAAAGCTGCCAGTCTATGCCTAGTGACACAGATGGGCAATGTCTGTTAAAAGTTGAGATAAAGAAACTGTTGATTGTAAAGTGCATTAATATATTTTACTTTTTCTAAAATGGTAGAGTTGATAAATTTAAACTTCATCATTCAAATTATACATCTTTGACTATTATTTCTTCAAAAATATCTACTCAGTAATTTAGATCTGATATGTGAGGAGTGAGTGACGGTGGCAAGAAATAGATATTTTTAACAATAATAATAATTTATAAAATACCCACCTTTCAATTAAAGTTACATATTTGGGATATATTTTATTTGGTTGGGGAGCAGGTGTTAAGTCAACTTGATAGTGACGAGATAAATATGTATGTGTGTAATTTTGAATTTTCTTTTCAATTTTAAACATGTAGAACATGCGTGAGAAACCTACCAATTTCATAAACCAGACCAGAGAAAGCAGAACTACAGGGACCTCCAGTGAGCCACAACACAAGGGGATCCTTCACATGATTCCTCTTTGCTTCAATGAAGTACTGCACATCGTCCATTTCGCCAACGCTCACATGTCTGAAAAAATAAAAAAATAACATAAAATCCCATGATAACTTCATTCATTTTTCTTAACTTGGTTGATTATTTGGTGCAGTGGTGAGGAGGATTCGAGTAAAAGACGACAGTCACTCGTGCAAATAATGTCGAAGGTTAAAAACACTCATTTTATATTTGGGATCTTGAATTCGTAGAGCAAAATGGAAGTAAAAAACTAAAAGCCAAATGGTGCATTAAGACCAGAATGTTGTGAAATTAACATAAAGCACAAGAAAAAGAACAAACAAACGCACAACAAGAATACACAGATTTTACTTGTTTTATCCAAAATTCAGTTTACCAATTACCCTCCAAGAAGAACAAAAAGAAGTAAATGCATCGACATTCTACTGATGAACTTTCCTGAAGCAAACAGACATTGTACTCGCGGAGAATCAGCTGCTCGTGACGCGCTGGAGTACTACGTGTATACACACACAAAACAATGATTAAAAAAAGTTGAAGTTGGTTGTTGCCTTCCATTCAAGTTTCAATCCTACTTTCCAAAATAAAATATAAAAAAGTTTCAATCCACCAGTCAAGCGCCAACTACAAATAGACTAGTTTTTCTTTAGTCCCTGTAGTTTTACAGTGTTTCACTGTTGTTCCCTAAATCATGATGTTTATTATATAAAGTGCATCTTATAAATCACATCTTTTAATTGCTTTGTGTGTGTATACACGAATCGACATACATAGTTTTGTTTTCATTTTAGATGTCATTCGTTTGTTTTTTAACGAAAGCTCATCACTTATACCGCATTAAAATTTTGGGTTTTAATGTCACAACTTGATGTGAGTGATTCGATCTTTCTTTAAATTTTTGTTCTTTGTCAACAGAAAGTAACAAAAACTTTTTGTCAACAAGGGTTGTCAAAGAGAGAATTTAATACATTCGTATCAAAGTAACATTATTTTTATTTTTTATGTATGTCACATTATTTATTTATTTTTGTTTTTTGTGGTCGCTCTTGGGCATATTTTATGGGACATATCTGAGCAATTGAAGACTTGAAGTCTGTCCAATGAGGTAAGAAAGAATGGTGTCCCATGGTGAGCACGTGTGGGAGGGGGAGTATATATACCTAACCAAAAAACAAGAAGTTTGAGGGAATGCTATAATTTGGACACATATTGGTATAAATTCACCGACCTGATCGGTTCATAGAGATATGTAACGGTATCATATCATTAAAAAACGTTATAAACCGATTAGATACATCGACCGATACACCGAACCATATTGAAAACTTATCCTAAATGTATTGAATCATTTTTATATTTTTGGAGAGTCAACACTCTACCTAAAACTTGATAGGTAGTTCATTACACATTATTTGAAGGAAAATTGTGGATATATGAAGAGATTATTCTAGAGGTGGACACCCTCCATTACAGAAAGAGAAACTTCAGACTTTTTGTAGGATTTTTATTTTTATTTATTTATTTTTGGGGTGTGTTTAGTCATGAATTATTTATCGATATTCTGTTCTATGATTATAAGTTCAATCATATTCAAATTTAGATATTATTATATGCCCATTCAATTTCTTGTTCTTCTGTTTTTTCTCTCTATTTTAATAAGCATTATAGCAAATCAGATCTTGAAAGTTTGTTGGTGGGATAAAGTTGAGCTTAAAATGAAGCCCGGTTTGAAATTTGGGTGTAAGATTGAAATGGTGAGATTTGATTTGTTTATCTGTGTTGGATTAGCCCAAGCTAGGGGGTCTTTTTCTACAGGCGTGGGCTTCATTTTTGATTGACCCAACAGTTCTTTGGGATTTTTATGATAAGCCCAATTGTTTTTATAGACATTTAAATTATGTGGGCCTCTACCCGTGGCAAATTGGACCCACCACAAAATATGGGTTACAAGTTAACTTAAATTGTATAAATACCAAGCCCATTTTCATGGGTAAATTTAAATTATTTAACTAGTCCAAGCCCACTCCAAAGTGGGTTAGTTGAATGAGAGGATACCTAATAAAAATATAGTTGTGAATAATTATTATAAATTGTTTTTAAAAAATAATAATAATAACTATTATAAATGATAATTATCACAAAATAATAAATAAATAAAAATTCATAATATGTGATTATTAATAAAGGACACGTGTCATCATTCTATTGATAGAGGTATGGACGAGGAGAATAAAGATGGAGCAAATACTAAAAGATTGTGATCCAACATGTTAGGGCAGAGATCACATAGCAAAGTTTGGTAAAGGTAGAGCACAACGAACATAATTTTGGTACATGTATAGGCATCAAAACACAAAGCTACCTTAAATATGGCTAGAATAAGTCTGGTGTAATGTACACCCTGCGTACTCAATATTTATTTCTGAACAGCATCTATCATTTGTATGTTGATTATGATAACAAAAGTAAGAATTTGACATACAAAAATAAGACTACGTACATATAATCCTTTCAAGACCTCAATAACCTTATAGCAAACACGACAAACTCAACGTGTCAACACTGAAAAAGTTTGAATAAGCTCAGACTCTCGTATTAACAACCCCATCTCCATTGAAAGATCCAACAAATTTTTTTCACTCAAAATCATTAACATTGAACGATCTCACATTGAAAATAAGGTAGAAAAATTGAAGCCCCTAGTGCTCTCTAGATAGGATAATAATGGATCCACCTATCATACATGTCAAAGCATTCTCTGCGCTTGTACTCTTGAGGTACATGTCCTGCTCCCTATTGTATAGATTGAAAAAAAAAAAAAAAAAAAAAAAAAAAAAAAAAAAAAAAAAAAAAAAGAGTCAAAATTTTCCCTAATTTTTACTTAATTTATGAGTATTTAAATAAAATAATATTTTCTACGCACCAGTACAGTTGCATATGTTAAGCGATATCCAGATCCGCGTCTCGAATACTTGATATTGTATCTACATTGAAAAGAAAAATAAGAGGAAAAAAATTGAATTTTTAAGCTAAAACCAAATTTTAAGGGAAAAAAAAAATTAAATAGAATTGATGGATGGAAAGAAATCTATAAAATTAGAAGCTGACCCTGCAATTTGGCCATCAGCAAACCATGGTCTCCATTCAAAATCAACAGTCATATTATTCAACAACTTTATCCAATCTTGAGTACCAATGTTTGGAACAACAAGGTCATGATCGCCACTGTGGAAAAACAGGTAATGTTAGTTAGCCAAGTGTATCACCCCTTAACCATGTAGGCACGTTTTGAACAAAATTATGAGTGCCGAGATGAAAATGTGCAAAGCGGATAATATTTACATAATTAGGGCGAATCATGACAATAGATGTTCGAAGATTAATATAAATAGGGTTGTCACAAACACTGTTTATGTAGCAATTGTGATGGTCATCAATTCATGTAGTGCAAAACAATGATTAATTCACTAAAACTTGTAATAGTGTAAGATAGTTACTTGTACACTAAAACTTGTAACCCTTTTGAACTGAGATAGCGATGAACATCAAGAACACTGTACACATTCATTGTGTAATTTAATTTCTTATCGCATCTCTTCCAATCCTTTATTGTTCCCTGATTATCACCATATTAACAAAATCAACAGAATATGTTATATATACTTGTAAAATGTATATAGTAATTGTTGAAGATAACGTACCACTCGGACATTCAGAGCCTCTTGGACACTAATATCATTTGCCCAGATATACGAAAGTGCATAGTTGAAGTTCTGCAAATGTGGATCGAGTCATTTCGTTGTTCTTCAAATTTAAAGCGCCAAAAATGGTAATACAGAGAGTGTATGGAACATTACATGACACCAAAAATCTGGAATTCTAGGAGGAGAGAGTATAAAATTTTCTGATTCCTCTTTGAGTGATCTTATATCTGATTCTCCATCTTGATCTGGGGATGCCCAAGTACACTTGGGCTCAAGAATATGGTTTTTGTTTATGTCATGAATCAACTGCAAAATTTAAAAACAATAATTCTAAAATATTAAGAAGCTTAACGAAATTGGAATTTACTAGGCCAGCCTTAGTTTAGTTTTCAAAGAACGATTTTCTGTTTCCTGAAAACTGGAAATCAGAAAATTGTACAAAAATTTACTTGGTTGACAGATTCTAAAACTGTTTTTAAAAAATTCAGTTAAAAATTTTTTTGGGTGACAAACCAAACAAGCCCTAATTCTCTCTCACCTTGTCGATCTTCTGAAGATTTATATAACACTCTGATTCATCTGCTTCAACTTCATAGTAACTCCCATTACAACTTTCTCTGGCTTGCTGTACGTTCGACAAAATCAAATTTCACCAAATGTACTCTATAACATTGTATACTTTTACGTTGAACTATATGATACTTAATTAAAGTTACATTAATTCAACTACCTCAAAAAGTGGATCAGAAATAAGCCCCATTCGATGACAATATGTAACCTTGGAATTTTCATTTATAGTTTCAACTGTTCTTGGGCATCCAAGAATGTATCCCTGAGACCATTTCAAAGAACTTTGTACTTAATAATAGAAATCTATAGCACAAAACCATAATTTTTTCAATTAATCTAGCATATTGAAGTCATTAAAATTCTATTATTAGATTATGTACTTTGAGATTCAGACGTGGAAAGACCCCCGCGTCAGCTCCTGAAACATTAGGAGAAATAAAAAGGTAACGTCATGAATTAGTCTATATTTGTTCTAATGGTTTTGGGTCTTAACTCCCAAATCCTAGTCAACGTTTCAAGACCGGGGGAGAGAATCAATAAAAAAAAATCTTTATGAAATAATTATTGGATCACTTTCAAGAATGCTGAATAAATCTGAGAAATAGTTTAGTAGTTTTCAAGAAAATTGGTTACCATCTATTATGTGTTTTACAACGATTGGTGCGGATATGCCCGAATATGAATCAGCTCCGATGAATAGTTGATTTGCTAGGAATTGTGGGTGATCGGTAAACCACTGCATCACAATTTAAATTAAAGAATTTATTCATAGGATAATAGAAAATATGATGTTCATGATATTGCTTGCATTGTTCATGGTGAACAATGTTTATACTGCTGGTCCAAGAACAATTGAAAATATTTTTTGCATTTAATTTTTTTTCTAATTCTAAATTATTTTTACCTTTAGGAGGAATTCGTAAGTCTGTTCTGCTGATTTTGTGTCTGATGAAGGGTAAGCACTCGAGTTTATTGCGTAGGAGAAACCAGTGCCAACTGGAGCGTCTATAAATAATATGTTGCTAGTCTGAAAAATTATTTTTACAATTCATCTATGAGATTAATTAAGAAAATTATGAAGAAAATTGATTTTTTATAATAAAAAATAAAAATAATAATAATAATAGTAAAAAAGGAGGGTGCGAAATGTTGCACCTTTGTCCATGAGTATGGGTAATACTCCAATATTGGTGTACCTCCTTGATAAGCTGTTATGTTGAAAGCTAATGGACCTAAAATATACACATACATAAAGATATATCAAGCACATTATATTCCTCCATTTGTATAGGTCAAAGAGATGTTCATAAAATCAAGAACTAAGCTTTCATTTTGTTGTAGTCTATCAAACTATTGCATGGTTGGATGTTCACAATTTAAAATTCTATATGTGAAAATACAAAAAATTGAGTAGTATATCTAATTATTATTATTATTATTATTTTTTTTTTTTTTTTTTTTTTTTTTTTTTTTTTTTTTGTATAATCCAGACAATTGTTAGTAGTTAGGGGGAGGGAATCGTACTCTGACTCGTGGGAGGGAAGAAATCGAACTCTGAACAAGATAGGGACACTAAAAGCTTGACTCTTTATCACTCGAGTAATACCGTCGTACCTTATTTACATATACTACTATGAAAATCTTTTAAAGCTTTCACATCTTTGTCTAAGTTTGAAAGTTTAACTAGTCAACTACATTTTATGTGGTCAATAATATGACAATATCAATAAAATGGTTTTGATACGTATTTCACTGAATGTTAGGTAGCTACCTAACTTGGTAGATGTTCTGTATTTTCAGTATATTCTTATTATTCTTGTTCTCTTTCTTATCATTATATATATATATATATATATATATATAATTTATTAGTTTTTTTTAAGAGTTGTAGGTCAATTACCAAATCTGCCCACCCAATCAGATACTGAGATACTATTTATTCAATATTTTTAAATTCCATATCATAAAGTATATTATATGGACAATGAATTATTATTTTTAATTGATAAAAAATTCATATATATTTTAATTTTCATAAAGATACATGTATATAAATTACATACAAAATATATATATATATATATATATATATATATATATTATAATTTTGTGGTTGTTTTGAATTTTAGAATCTGATTGAATTAAGGTAGGAATGGTTGGTTCAAGTAGATGCAAGATGTAGAAAATTCCCATTTTCTAGTTGTTGAACTGGTGTTTTTGTTGGATTTTTTTTTATTTCATTCCGTTTTAAGGAATGGTTAGTTGTACATTAAATGCCAATGTTTATATACAATTTTTAAAAAAATTCATATTGTGGTGTCCAAATCATGTCAATATCCACATTCATATTATCCAACAAGAGATATTGTGGGCCCACAATCCCTCTCTCTTGTTCCAAAACAAATTTTTCCAAAATTGAAAACAATTTTTCATAAAATGAAATTCACTCACATTCAAGCTCTCTGAAGTAGTAGAATCAAAAGAAAAGAAAGATTACCTATTTCATAAATAATTCCATTGAGGGTAGAACAACCAGGACCACCACTGTACCAAACCAAAACAGGGTCGGACTCCGGGCTCAATTCGGACTCAATGAAGTAATAGAAGAGCTCCGATTCAGCAACAGTTATGTATCTGAAAATCAAAATCAACCCATTAAACATATATATATATATATATATATATATATATATATATGTTTTTAATTTATGAAAAAAAAAAAAAAAATGAATACTTACCCAGTCTCAAGCTTAAAGGGAAGTTCACCATCAAAACCTGGCAAGAACTTGACAATTGAACCACCAAACACAGCATTTCCAGAGGACAACAATGGTAGACACACCCAAATGATCATACAATTTCTGTAGCTGAATGACATTGTTAGGAGCTTCTCGATCATATGCTGCCTTTGGACCAAACTTAGCTACGCTAGTTGGGTTCTAAAAAGTCTGACCAAATATATATATTTATATATATATATATCATGTGTGTGTGTGTGTGTAATTGGAGAATATTTTAAAATGTTTATGAACATTGGATAGAATCACATAACTTTTGAAGTATGGAAATGTTGGTAGAACAAACGCATGCATTGGAAATGCAGTTGGGTAGACAGACCATTCTGGTCGTATATCTTTTTTTTTCCCACCAAATCTTTTTTATTGGGTCTTCACTCGAGAAGTCGTGTCACACAATCTAAAGGTTTGTCATTGAAACAGACCAATATTTTCTAATTTCCTCGTCCCACACCTTATTATTATACTCGCCATTTAAAATGTAATCAAAATAATATTTTTCTCACCTTATTATTGTACTTGCCATCGATTATTTGATCACGGGGTTCCGATAAAATATATATATTTTTTTATGTGTTTGACAATTATTATTATTATTATTTTTTTTTTTTTTTTATCAAACGTTTCATAATATTCAGGAGTATGTTTATTAACATTATAACTGTTGTAAGATTTTTTGCAACAAAAATATGAAAACACATTGGGTAAAAAAATGTTACAAGTTTAAAATATAAAAATGACTAATAAAAATGGTCATTTAAGAGTTTTTATTTTTTATTTTTGTGTACCATGCATAGCTGGGGTTTGGAAACAACTTTGCCACTTTGTTGTTTCCATCTTTAGCCTCTTTTTTCAAAACAAATAGTATTATTCAACAAAAGTTACTAAACACGCTTTTGTTTCGCTACAAGTTACCATTGGAAATTAACAAAACACACTAATCAAAAAGAGTTGTTAAATAGGGCCACATTGGGTGGGTGTTTTTGCTTTTGGTATTTTTTTTTTTTTTTTTCCTTTTACTTTTTAATACTTATGTCTCTTTTAGTTAGTATAAAATAAGAAGGATAGAAGAGTAATTCCATATGGGATTTTTACGGACATTAATGTCCGTCACTTAAAAGGGAAGCGAGTGTAATTTTCCAAAATTAATGAAAGTTTTAATATGTTACAATGTTCAATTACGAGAAAGTTTACAATATTTCTGGACCATTTATTACGTGGTATTCCCACCAACAGCTAATTATTATTTTTCTTGAAAATTTTTAATTTCTCGTTTATCAAATTAGAATTTCAATGACAGTCATTTGATCGGATATCATATGTAAATATTATGAAATATTGTATACTTTATCCAATTATTTGCCAATGATTAGAGAATTAAAAATTAGTGAAAGTTATTGAAAAAAATTCGAACTTAGAAATATAGAGCGGAGATACTCGATGCATAACTTTTACACCGTTACAGCTCTCTCGTCAAATTACATACACACGTATGGTACCTATGCATTGGAAATGTAGTTGGGTAGACCGTTATTGTGGCCTCTTATGTGGATTTAGCTAGGTAGGGTCCATATATATATATATGGATAGTCATAAGCTTTTGTCCCTCATATATTCTTTTCCAAATAATTTTTGTCTCTTCCCACGTGAGATGTATAATCAGGCAATTAAAACGTTCGACATTGAAACCGAACCACCTTTTCAAATTTCCTCGTCTCTCACCTTATTATTGTACTCTTATCACATTCCACCAACAACCATCAAATTAGTTGATGATTATGTTTTTTTTAATATGCGTGGAACACCCCTTCTGAACATCCTTAAAGAATAAATTATTCAAACACTGGTGAGATCTAAGTATCATCTCAAATAAGTCACGAATAAGAATAATTTAAAAAGAATAATGTCTCCACTATTCTTTCTAAGTATCGAGCTTTGAGACCTCCAAACATCCATCCCACCCCTCTGCCCCTCGACTATTCTTCCTAAGTATCGAACTTGAAACCTCCAAACATCTATCCCACCCCTCTACCACACTGGGCCAACCAGTGGGTATCAAATTAGTTAATCTTTTCTTTCTTTCTTTATTTCTTTTGCTTGTTTGGGGTTGATTTTTTTTTATTTTTTTTTTTGGACAGTATCAAATTAGTTAATCTTTTCTTTCTTTCTTTATTTCTTTTGCTTGTTTGGGGTTGATTTTTTTTTATTTTTTTTTTTGGACAGGAGGTATCCAACGCTGACGCCCCAACTATTCCCCCTATCACTCGCACCGGCCCCACAACACGCACAACGGTCCGTCGAAGAACTCAACAGACAAGGTAGGAATCGAACCCTGACCATTGCGAACCAACACCCAAGACTTACCATCACTGCTAGGCCCTAGGAGCTTGTATGGGGTTGATTTCAATTTTATATAGTTGATAGGTAGGTCAAATTAGTTCATCTTTTCTTTCTTTATTTCTTTTGCTTGTTTGGGGTTGATTTCAATTTTATGTAGTTGATAGGCAGGCCACAGTCAAACATGACCTAGTGAATAAACTTACTTTGAAAAAACCAGTAAACCACGAAAAAATGACTCAGATTTTATAATAAATTACACTTGCATCCATGTAGATAAAGTGAATTACAAAAATCTCTCATAAGTTTTGAAAAATTACACTCGCCTCCCCCTATATACTGTATTGAAATATATATTATATATATGCATTATATTCTGTTTCCTTTTTCCCTTCTTTCGTCCTTAATTTACTCCTTGGTTTATTTCTTTTGTGTGCAACTTTATTCTTATAAATTGTGTATCAATACAATGTAAACATATCAAGTACTATAAGCAGTAAGAGAAATGTAGCCTCAGTGGCTCTTGATACATGGATATAGGCATTAATGCCGAACCATGTATGTGCTGTGTTCTCCATCTTTCTCTCTTCCATCTTCTTATTTTATATCTTATATTTTTGCATCCTATGAAATGTAGCATCAGTGGCTCTTGATCAAACGGTTGGCCAATATGAAATTACTCTTTCGTCCTTACTCATTTTTTTTTAGTTGTGGTTATATGTTTTAAAGAAAAAATGTCTCGACCTGTTTGTTGTGTAGATATTATTTACTTTGCATATTATTTGTGTTCAAAATTTATAACGTGTGTCACATGTAAGTACCAACAACTTTTCATACAAGTCACCTCACAACGTAGAAGTGGCGTGAGAGCAAATGGAACTCATGATTTGAAGTCATCATGTACATAAGCTAATGGACGGCCTAGCATGTAAACCTAATTCAATTAAAATGGCATGATTTTTGAACTTAGCTCACAACTTACAAAATCATATGATGCCAAACCTGCCCCTGGATGTTCAAGTGTGGCTCTTGTCCAGCTGAAGCATTAAAAGTGTAAGTCGACAATTAGTGCTGTCAAGACATTACTAATCAAAGGCATAATATTTTTTCTGTTGTTTCTTTTCACTCGCTTTCCTGAGAAAATTATATGTATCCATTGGCGATTTTGTGTCTCAATACATTGTAACCTCATGAGGTTATTGAGTAGAAAAATCAAGTGCCAACGGGTGCATCTAAAAAATATTATGCTGGCAATATGAAAAATTATCAGTACTTTGAGTCTTTTGATATATATATACTTGACGTGCGCGGAAAAATTGCACAGTTTGTTTAGCATTGGAGTGAAATATGGTACCAGTCTCCATTAGTATGAATTCAGCAGAAATGTGAGTCTTTGAAAGCTTGAACATTGAAATTTTATGACTAGGAAATCCTTAAAATGAGCCATGGAGGGTCATCAACGATGTGATCTAATTGTTGCACTATGTTGTTATTGTAGTTTATATGTTAACATTGTGCTCAACTTGATTCGGTACTCTTATGATTAATAGCTTTTGCTCCGCTGCTTTGTTTTCTTCTTTATATCCCACAAGGTCACAATACATACACATACAAAAACACACACTCCATGTATTACATGGTTTGCTCTCTGAGTACTCAAAAAGGTCTATTGAAGTGATGAAGCTGAATTTGTGTGTGTATGAGAGAGGTGGTTGTAGCTAATCTTACATATCAGTCAGTAACAAAAAATGATCCCACAAAATTATCTTCTTTTTTTCAAATATAATTATTCAACAATGGCTCGGGTATCATGGCAGGAGACATGCTAGACAATGACACAGCATGTCACATACAGCCATGGATACTGTTGTGGCTTCTTCAATGGGAATTCAGATAGGGACATGTGGAATGGTGGACAGGGTTGGATTGGAGGTGACATTACGAAATGCAACTTGGGGATATCAAGAAACCACGGCCATCCAATTTGCAGGAGTGATCAGGTACCTTCAGAGAGGACAAGTGGAGCCTGAGGCTGAAATCAAAAGGAAATGTAACTCACTTCTACAAGAATAAATAGGAAGATAGACGGCAGGGGAGACAGATTGGAAAAGAGGAAGGAAAGGATTTTCAGCTGAAGGCGTAGAGAGAGACAGATTGGAATAGAGGAGGAAAATGATTTTCAGCTGAATGTCCTCTGTGCCTCTTCCTCTTTGGTGTGTATTTGCTCCAATCTCTCCCCTTTTCTTCATCGTGTATGGTTTGAAACTTGGCAATTACTACTATGTTTGATAAAACTTAATTATTAATTATCATAATATCGTTCATGTTTGGAATTTTTATTACTTCATACTAAACTCAATGCTTATTATTATTTTTTTTGAGCTATTAATATCACTAATTTTAAACTATTAATTTATATAAAAGAATATTATTGACAGCAAATAAAAAATTGTCACTTTTAAATATAGATATAGTCGGTTTTAACATAAGAGTAGAGAAATCTGATTTCCACGTCGAAAAACTCTCTCTATAAAGAGACAAACAATATAAATTATAGTTTATAAAATAAAACTGTTTATATTATAATGTAATAAAGTAACTTAATGATATTCTCCAAATAATACACATAATATAGGTAATTTATGTATTAGTTTTTGAGATAATAAATTCTGAAGTTATAAACTTAATTATTATCATAATATCATTCTACGTTTGGAATTTTTATTACTTCATAAATACTTATTATCATTCATTATTATTTGTTTTGAGCTATTAGTATCACTAATTTTAAACTATTAATTTATAAAAAGAATATTATTGGTAATTAA